TCCCGGGGCTTTACAGGTTGGGGAGTGGGGATGGCTGGGAATGAGGGTGGGTAGGGACACTTAACCAGCTGAAAATGGAGTGGGGGGAGGGGGGTAGCCCATGGCCCCTCTCATGATCAGCCCTCAAGCAGTTAGTTCAGATCCCCGAAAGGTGGGGAGGCAGTCCCTGAATATTTATGACACATTGAAATGTAGATTGGTGGGTCTGACAGTCTTCTGAGAGGCTTGTCACCTTCGATGGATATACTACCCTCTTGGGGTATGTTGAGAAGCTGCAGAAGAACTGGGGATAAAGGGATGATGATGAAGGGCAAAGAAAGCCACTGGGCTCTGGTCACCAGGGTCTAAGGACCAGTGTCCCCGCTGGGTGACACTGGCCTAGTCACTTCCCCTCTCTGGGCCTGTTTCCTATTCTGTAAAAGGTGCAGCATAATATTTAGCACCTGCATATTTTAGCTGGGGGAGGGGGGCTTCCCTGGGGGCTCAGCAGTAAAGAATCCATCTGCCAATGCAGGAGACTTGGGTTCAATCCCTGGGTGGGGAATATCCCGTGGAGAAGGAAATGGCAACCCACTCCAGTATTCTTGCCTGGGAAATCTGTAGCCCTCCAGGCTCCTCCCTTCATGGGGATCACAAAAAGCTGGACATGACTTGTGACTGAACAGCAAACTAAGGGGGAGTTTATAAAAACTAAATCCAAAAGCAGCTGTAAAAGTGGGGAGCAGGCCCTGGGAGCAAGGCTTTCTATGACTGGCCTCTGTGTGTCCACAGTCCATTCTTTCGGTGTTAGAGGTTGATCATTCAAGGATTCGTCCATACCTTTCTCAGAGTGTCCCAGCCAGGCCTATACTGTCCTTCTGGGGGAGATGTTCTCACAGGTAGGAGGCAGGGTAAGCGCTGATGTCGACCTGAGGCCCCCACGCCTCCTCCCGTCCCCTCTGCTCCTCAGCGGTGTGCCTCCCCCATGCACAACTTCTTTTCTTTCTCCAGCCATGTCAGACTTCCACGTGCATCCTCAGGCCACCGTGGGCGAGGAGGGCGGTGTGGCCCGCTTCCAGTGCCAAATCCACGGGCTCCCCAAACCCCTCATCACCTGGGAGAAGAACAGGGTCCCCATTGACACGGACAATGAGAGGTGAGCCCTGGGTGGGCATGACCAGGAGGCAGGCCCAGTCCAGTGCCTGAACCTTGAAGAAGGCCTGCCTGCAGCCTCTGGGGTGGTATTCCTGCCACTTTGTTGAGACTGAGTATCTGTGTGGCTTGTGGGCCCAGATGCAACACTTGAGTCAGTGAGAAGGTCGGCGTGTGGTTGTTTGTTGCTGAGGCTGGAATTGCAGGGGCGTCCACCAGTGAGAGTCCCAGAGTGTGTCTGCGATGATGAAAGTGAGACTGGGACAGCGGCTGGGTGGTGGACTGTGTCCGTGATGCTGAGCATCCTTGGGCCAGTGGTGCTGTGCTGGTGGTTGACCGTGCCCCCCACCACAGGTACACGCTGCTGCCCAAGGGAGTCCTGCAGATCACAGGCCTTCGAGCTGAGGACAGCGGCGTCTTCCACTGTGTGGCCTCCAACATTGCCAGTGTCCGGGTCAGCCACGGGGCCAGGCTCACCGTGACAGGTGCGGGCCTCGTCCTGTCGCATGCTTCCCCCCAACCACCACATCGCCCTCCCTTCAATGGAGCCTCAGGGCCTGGACTGTGAGCACCTTCTGAACACCTAGCTCTGTGCTCCTCGGGGTGAGGGTTCAGGGACCCCGAGGTCCCTCGCTGGCTCAGTTCTCTGGGAGGAAGCCCACCCTTGGCTTCTAGGTGGTTAGGTGGGGGTGGCTGTCCCACTGCGAGAGGCCCTGACCGGGGAGATGAGCGCGATAACGTCCAGGGACCGCCAGCATCTCTTCTCTCCGCCCCCCCCCCAACCCGGTTTTGGGCTGCAATTTGTCTCCCATCCCCCATGGCCTGAGCCGTGTATGTGGGTACAGGGCAGAGTGTGGTGAGGAGGTGGGAAGGGTCCCAGCTACAGTGAAGCAATGTCGTCTTCCAGGCTCGGGCTCTGGAGCCTACAAGGAGCCCACGATCCTCGTGGGGCCTGAGAACCTCACCCTGACTGTGCATCAGACCGCTGTGCTCGAGTGTGTCGCCACGGGCAACCCGCGCCCCATTGTGTCCTGGAGCCGCCTGGGTGAGCCCCGTCCTGCAGCCCCCGCCTCTCCCAACCCTGGGAGGGCCAGTCTCTTCTCCCAGCTCTGGGGGGCGGGGACCTGGAATCCTGTTTATTCTCCGTGGGGGTCCGCTTTCTCGAGTCCTAGGGAGGGGGGTGGTTTCCCTCTCCTTGGCAGGACCAGGGAGGTCTGCGGCCCACTGCATTCTCCCTCCCCCTGTGTAGATGGCTTAGCTCCCGGGTTACCTCGTCCAGTGCTCCTGCAGTCCTGTGCCAGCTCCATGCCCTGCTCACCCTTGGCCTCACCATTGGGCCCTCCAGAACCTCTCTGCAGCTCTCAGCACCCCTAGTCGCTTCCCCCTCTGGCTCATCTCTGTCCTCTATACCCTGGCCATCTTCCCCAGCGATGCAATCCCAAACCCCTCAAAATCTCAGCCGGTTGTCACACGCTCTCTCTGGGCCCCCGAATCTCTAGCCTGGTCCCCTCAATCCCCAGCCTAAATCCCCAGGCAGCTGAAGGAGAGAAATGAAAGGGTGCAGATGGGCCCACATTGTCTGAGTGGGGAGGTCACGGGGAAGGAAAGTCTGGAGGGGACGGGGTGGGGTCGCATTCACAAGGAGACTGCACTACATTGTAGCAGCTGAGTGATGGGGAAGGAGGGGGCAGCAGGCAGGATAATGGAGTAGATTTCACCACTTCAGAGGCTGAATGGGGAGCTGTCTCCTCGCATTCTGACTGTGCTAATCTGATCCTGGGTGGGGGGAGAGCCCAGGGCCTGGGAGAGGCTGAAAAGAGAGGCCTCACCATTAGGAGGAGCCCATAGACCCGGTAAAGACCATCTGGTAGAGCATTTCCCAAAGCGTGACCTGCAAGGGGAAGGAATGGCTTGGTGGTCTAGCAAGTTTGGGAAACAGAGTTAACCAGATGCCTTGGCTGCAGGACTTGTCAGAGCCTTGACATTAATGGGCGTTGGGACAGTCAAGGAGCAGAATGGACATTTGATCAAGGAACTTGGCTGAGGAGAGACAAATCAGGCAGGGAAATGTCCACCATGTAAGACCTTACTTTCCTGTTTGAGAAACTAGGGGCAGGGGACTTGAAGGTCACCAGAGCGGCAGTGACGATGCTAGGATTAGGACCCAGTTCCCTACGGCTGGGCAAGAGTTTCCTGTGTTGCCCTTGCCCCTCCAGCATGCCGTGATGCTTGGAGAGAAGAGTCAGAGGCAAAGACAGGGGCTCCCTGGAGGACTGATGGTGGTCAAGTTGGGACGTTCCTGGACACCTCCCTCCCTGACGCTCCCTTCCTCTTTAGATGGCCGCCCCATTGGGGTGGAGGGCATCCAGGTGCTGGGCACAGGGAACCTCATCATCTCAGACGTAACTGTACAGCACTCAGGGGTCTACGTCTGCGCAGCCAACAGGCCTGGCACCCGGGTGAGGAGAACAGCCCAGGGCCGGCTAGTGGTGCAAGGTACGGACTGCCCCCCACCCAGCGCCGCCCCTCCGCCTGCCCCATCCTGCCCAAGCCCAGGGCCTTATACTTGCCCACATTGTTATCCTCACCCTAACCTTGCCCCTGCCCCTCTCCAGGGTCCCAGCCTGGCCAAAGACAGCAGCTCTCTCTCCACTCCCCACCCCCCCAGGAATGTTTGTGTGGGGAAGGGAAGGGCAGCTTTGGTCATCCGTCCTTTCAGGTGCCATCACCTGTTCTCTCCTGGAGAGATGGGAGAGAGTGGAATTAGGAACTTAAATGCCTGTTTGTTTAGCATTCCATGTGCCGTTAATCTGTCCAAATGAAAGTGATGGAGCATTTCATTTCTCGGGTGTTAATGGAAGCTCGAGGCTTGGGATTGGAGGAGAGTAAAACAGAATGTAGGGGTGAGGGGAGCCAGTACTGAAGGCTCATCCATCTCCCCATCATTACAGCCTTCAAGGTGCAGCCAAACCTATTAGCACATTTATTTATTTAACAATTTCCTGAACAGGGAGCTCAGCTTGATTGCTTTCGGATACAAATGTCAGTCTTTTAAATAGTCATTGAAATGGAGTCCTCTCTTGCGTCTGCCTCTCTGGGGCTTGGGAGGTGAGGGCTGCTATTTCCTGGAGGCTGGACCAGGGCGGAGGGTGGGCCCCACTGGAGGCGGCTCCTGGCCCACCCTGTCACCCACAGGTCTCCGGCCCCACTCTCTCCCCCTCCTCATCCATTCACTCAGAGGTGTCCCCTACGTCTCCCCTTGACCCCGACCCCAGCCCCGGCAGAGTTTGTCCAGCACCCCCAGTCCATCTCCAGGCCGGTTGGAACCACAGCCATGTTCACCTGCCAAGCCCAGGGCGAGCCACCTCCTCACGTGACGTGGTTGAAGAATGGACAGGTGCTGGGGCCCGGAGGCCACGTCAGGCTCAAGAATAACAACAGGCACGTGCGTGGCGTGTGTGCGGGGGTGAGGCCTGGGGAGGTATCGGGGAAGGGGGTCTCGGATGAGTGGTCCAGGCACCGTGCACCTCCTGTTGGGGAAGAATGCTAAATTGGGGGTCTGGAGACTTGGGTTTGAGTCCCAGGTCTGCCCCTAACTAGCTGAGAGACCTCAGACAAGCCTGTTGTTGTCTTCTGGAGGGGCTCAGTTTCTCCGTCTTTCAAATGGGGAGATGTGGCCCACCTCCGAGGAGACTCCGGGAGGAGGAGGGGGTCTGAGGCTCTCCCTCCCCCTGCAGCACCCTGACTATTTCTGGAATCGGCCCGGAAGATGAGGCCATTTACCAGTGCGTGGCCGAGAACAGCGCCGGCTCCTCCCAAGCCAGCGCCAGGCTGACCGTGCTGTGGGCCGAGGGGCTGCCTGGGCCCCCGCTCAACGTGCAGGCGGTCCCCGTGTCGTCCACCGAGGTCCGCGTGTCCTGGACCGAGCCCCTGGTGAACACCAGGGAGATCATCGGCTATGTCCTGCACATCAGGAAGGCGGCCGGTGGGTGGGGCCCCGGAGGGCAAGGCTGCCCCTGCAGCCCCTTCCTCTTACTTCCCTGGCTCTCACCCCCTCAGTCCCCGCGTCCTGACCCTCCTGACCCGGCACCTTTCCTTCCTCCTCTGGACTGGCCCCTCTGGCGGCCGCCCTCGTTTCCCCAATGTGGGCGGGATTCTCTCCTGCCTCTTCACTGCCTGCCCCGCCCTGGCCTCCCCAGACCCGCCGGAGCTGGAGTACCAGGAAGCAGTTAGCAAGAGCACCTTCCAGCATCTGGTGAGCGACCTGGAGCCTTCCACTGCCTACAGCTTCTACATCAAAGCCTACACGCCCCGGGGAGCCAGCTCAGCCTCCGCCCCCACCCTGGCCAGCACTCTAGGCGAAGGTGAGCTCTGGATGTGGAGCACAAAACGCCAGGGGATTAGGTAGAACCCCCGGGAAACCGATGTTCAGGCTGTGCACTGCACACTGTTCTTCGCCCTGGGGCTGAGAGGGGGCTGAGTCTACTTGGAAGAAGGGGTGTCCTTTTCTGTTGATAAATTCTTGCAAAGGTGCTGTTTGAGCAAGCAGAGGCCCTGGGTTAGAGTCACAGAGCAGCCGGGCTCCTGGGGGCAGTGGGGTCTGGGGCATAGGTGGCAGGTGGAAGGGTAGTGCTTCGATGGCCACCAGGTCCTCACACCTCAGCCCCCTTCTCCGCCCACAGCCCCCGCCCCACCGCCGCTGTCTGCGCGGGTCCTGGGCAGCTCCACCCTGCAGCTGCTGTGGGAGCCCTGGCCCCGGCTGGCCCAGCACGAGGGCGGCTTCAAGCTGTTTTACCGCCCAGCAAGCAAGGCCGCCTTCACTGGCCCCATCCTGCTGCCGGGAACTGTCTCCTCCTACAACCTCAGCCAGCTCGGTGAGGTGGACGTGGCCTGGGGCTGGGGGCGCTGGGCAGGGCGCGGCGCCTGGTGCCAGCAGGCGGTTCCCGGGGGTCTTCTCCAGCTCACCCTGGGGACACGGCTGCCGGTGGGGCCTGGGCGGACCCTCAGCAGCCTGCCCTCCCCCCAGACCCCACTGCAGTGTACGAGGTGAAGCTGCTCGCCTACAACCAGCATGGAGATGGCAATGCTACCGTCCGCTTCATGTCTCTGAGGGGAGCAGCTGAGAGGACAGGTGAGGGGCGGGCGTGGGGTCTGGCCAAAGACTGGCCCTCAGGAAGGGAGGCCAGAAGCTGAGTGGGGGGTGGGGGGAGCAGGCATCCAGGGAAAGCATGAGGGTCCAACAGTGCATGGAGAGCTGGAGAACATAGGCCTAGACCTGAGTTTGATGCTGGGCTGCGTGACCTTGGGTAAGTTACTTAACCTCTCTGAGCCCCCATTGTCTCCTTCATAAAACAGAGATAGTAATACCCTTGTAGAACTGTATGGAGAATGAAATGGTCCCTGTAAAGTGTTATTCCTAGTATTTGGCACCAAGTTAGTGTTCAATCATTGGTAAAAAGAACCAAAAAAGTTGGGCTGGGATCCCATAGACAAGGGCACACGCCATGTGGACTAGGGGGTGGGAGCAGCTGCGGGAGAAGTAACCCACGAAGGCTGGGTGTCTGGGAGCCACAGCCCCCAACCTGCCTCTGCTTCTGGCCCCCCAGCCCTGAGCCCACCATGTGACTGTCGGAAGGAGGAGGCCACCAACCAGACGTCCACCACGGGCATCGTCATTGGCATCCACATCGGGGTCACCTGCATCATCTTCTGTGTCCTCTTCCTCTTATTTGGCCAAAGGGGCAGGTGGGTCCTGGGCCTGCGTGGGACGGGCGGGTGTGGAGCAGGCGGCGGGAGGGGCGGCTTGCGGCCCACTGTCTCCACCCTTGTGTTCTTGCCGCTCCCACATCCCTCCTCCTAACTCTGGGCTCATCCCCTAGGGTCCTCCTGTGCAAGGATGTGGAAAACCAGCTCTCCCCTCCTCAGGGCCCCCGGAGCCAGAGGGACCCTGGCATCCTAGCACCGAATGGGGCGGGACGGGCAGAGCGGGGCCCGCTGGGCCGAGACGGGAAACGTGTGGACATGAAGGAACTGGAGCAGCTGTTCCCCCGAGCAGGGGCTGTGCAGCCTCACCCCAGACCCATGGTGAGTGCCCCTGCGGGGGCCAGCCCCCTGCTTTAGGCTGCGCCCTCCTTACCTTGGCCATAGGCCTTGGTCACAGGCCTCTGCCAAGCTACAAGACCAGCCTGATGACCAGAGCGTCTCTCTGTGCCCCTAAGTCAGGCAGGGAGGCCTGGAGACTTCACCCCTGAGTGCAGTGGGTTCCAGCGCCTGACCCTCTGACTCGGGGCTCGTGGGCCTCCGGCCCGCCTTGCTGAGGCCTGTGTGACTCACCCTTTCCCCAGCAGGACCCCGAGGCCCCTGCCCTGTGTGAGGTGACCCAGCTCTCCATGCTGCCGCTTCGGGGGCTCAGCCTCCTGGAGGAGATGCCGTCGGAGGCCCTGCCACCCCAGGACGTAGGCCCTGGCCTCCCGAGCGAAGGACCGGCTGCCCAGCCAGCTCCCTCGGGACCGTAGCTGGTGTCCGGCTGGCTCTGCAGGGGGCAGCCCCCCGTTCTCAGGTCAAAGGCAAGATTTCTCCTGTCATGTGGGATTCAGGTAGGGGCTTCCCAGGTGCTTCTGTCCTGACTGATCCTCCGATTCTCAAGACCTACAGTAGCCTCAGCAAGAACCCCTCCAAGGACCCAGAGGGGTTCTGCAGGAGCCCCGCCAAGGGCCCCCTTCACCTCTGTTTGTACCCACATGACTTGGAACTGACCTAATGTTTTCCTTTAAAAAAAAAGAACAAACTTAAAAAAAAAAAAAAAGAGCGAGAGAGAAAGAGAAGAGAAGAAGGTGAATTAGACTCCAAAAATGAGCCCCTGCTGTGGCTGGGCGCCTGACACTGTCACCCTCCACGACCTTGTTTTCTCAGGATGGAGTTTTGCTGTTTGACTTTCAGCACCTACCTCAGCCGGAATGAATGTCCTCGGGGGAGTAGAACCCCGAATGCACTCCTACCTCAAGCCCCTTTAGGGGGCACCCCTTCTCCCTCCCTACATTATTGCCCTGAGTTTAAAAAAAAGAAAAAAGGAAAAAAAAAAGCACTTCCCCATTTCCAGGTGTGAAAGAAAATGTCTACCTCGAAGTTTGCTGGCTCTCAGGCCTGTGTTGTATCACTGGACCGTCCCTCCTGGCTCCTCACCAAGGGTGGGCCTCTTGGGGCCTGCAGAAATAAAGATGGAATTGGTCAAAGAAAATGTGAAAAAAAAAACAAAAAAAAGCCAAAAATAAGAGGAAAATTTGTTCCTGGGAGCATAAATCGTTGCTCCAGACTAGCCGCTTCTCAGCACACTACCGGTGCTGCGTCTTGTCGGCCTGCCCACTCCCATTTTGACCCGCTCAGCCAACTCGTCCTCGACTGGGACCCCAAGGACCCTCTGTGTACCTGGGCCTTGGGAGGGTGGGCCGTCAGCCCGCGGCCCGCCTGCCCGCTATCCTGCCCACAGCCGCTGGAGCAGACTGGCCCCTGGAATGTACTGTGTGTGCTGGCTGTGTGCATGTTGTGGGGGGTGCGGTCCCCAGCCCTCTGTCGCCTGGGACAGCCAGCCTGACCCACCCCCCCGGGCAGTGGCACAACCACTGTCAGCAGATACGGCCGGAAACTATTTTTATACGAGGTGTGTTTAAGGATTTCTGTTCTTGTGATTTCTTGTTTTTCTCTTCTGTTGTGTTCTTTGAAAGACTTAGTTAAAGATGGAGGAAAAAGGAAAAGGAAACAAATAAGTATTTTTGGTTACACGCAAACATTTTTTTAAATAGCAGAAAGAAAACTTTTGTTTGGAAGAAAAAAAAAAACTGTATTCCTTAAGTATGAGATTAGACCATAAAGTCCCTGACTCCCAACCCTCTAGGGACTCCCCAACCCAAACTTTAGTGAATTAGCTGGAGGAAGTACACTTGGTGGTGTGTTCCTGAAAGACTGAAGTCCTGTCCATGTGGGTTTGGAGAAGGGCATTGTCCAGGGTGCCTCAGCCCGCCCAGGCGATGCCCCTTGATCCCTGTGGCATCGTCTCCACATCCCCTTCCTCCTGGAACCCCCTCTCCTAGGGAAGGGTGGGCGTGCGGGAGGGCGGCGGCCTGTCTGGGGTTTGTCACACTCATTTTGACTGAATAAAAGTCCTGTTGCCAAAGTGAATCTTGCTTTTTTGGTTGCTTTTTTCGGGCCTAGGTGAGGGTTGGGAGTGCTGGGTGACGGGGCGATCTCGGCCACCCCAGGTCTTGCTTGCGGTGTGTGAGATCTTCAGTCTTGGTGGTGGCCTGTGGGATCTTCAGTTGTGGTACGTGGGATCTAGTTCCCTGACCGGGGATTGAACCCAGGCCCCCTGCACTGGGAGCTCATGAGTCTTAGCCCCTGGACCACCAGAGAAGTCCCAGCTATGGGCTTTTTTTTTACCTTGTCTATGAGGAGGGACTGTCTTCCCATGCTAAAGTTGAGGAGACTGGGGCTCGGACTGGCTGAGTCTTTTCAGGACACACAGCCAGACCCTTGGCCAGGCCTCTCTGTTCCTCCCTGTCCTCTCTTCAGTCCAGACTCCTGAAGCTACTGAGTCTGAGAATAGGCCAAGAGAGGCTAGGCTTAAAAGGATCGTGCTGACAAAGATCTGGAGGTCTCAGGACTTCCTTGGAGGTCCAGTGGTTAAAACGCCAGCCTTCCAACGCAAGGGGTACAGGTTTGATCCCTGGTCCCTGGATCCCATGTGCCGCACAGCAAGGCCAAAAAATTAAAAAAGAAGATCTGGAGGTCTCAGTGGGCCTCAAGCTTAGTAAGAGGCAATGGTGAAACGCAACGGCTTAGACTATCAATGTCCCCTCTTGCTGAAATGGAAAGCCAGGGCTCACCCCTGAGAGACTCTGCAAGTCTGGAGGGCTAGGTTCTATACCCAGAGGCATCTTTTGAGAGGAACAAACAAGGACAGTGATTGGCAAGCCGAGTTCTCCAGCTGTGGCTAGAGGGTCTGGGGGAGCCTCCTTGCCCACTCACACGGAGAGCAGCTTGACTTTTGTTTGTCTTCTAAGTTGAGCTCTGCATGAGATTTTTTCATTAGAAAACAGGGTACTGCTTCTAAAAGAAACATCTGAAAGCCCTTGGCCTGGCACTTCAGGAAGAGGGCTGCAGGGGAGGTTGGGGCCAAGGTCAGGCCACAGACGGTGATGGTGCAGTGGATGCTGAACTGAGAGAGAGAAGCCTGAGGCTACCATGGTACCGTCATGGGTCTTGGGGGTGAAGTGGTTGACTTGTCTTGATTTTCCCAGAGGAAAGAACTAAGCCCAAATATAGAAATAATACCTTGCTTTTCTTTACACAGAACTCCACAAACCCATAAATTCTGCATCAACTTCAGCCATCCAAGGACCACCTGGGGAGGTGATGGGTGGTCACATGGAGGAGCAGATGTGAAGGGATAGGAGAGCAGACCAGTTAGCCTCCAGTGCTCCTGTCCCTCCAAGGGTCCAAGATGCTAGTACCTCCCCCAGGGAGGGGCCCAGAAACCTTAAAAACCACCTAATATGACTTATGTAGATTATGCAAATTGCACACAAATCACATGCAAATAAAGGAAGGGTCTGTTCTAACAACCTTGAACTGAGGTAAAGGGAGAAGCAGGGTTCCAATTAGGAAGTTTAGCAGAAATTGCTCTCAGCTGGGTGGCCCAGCTGGAATCTAGGTCCTGAGATCCAGTGGCCTCTGGCCGAATACCTACACACACACACACTCACACACACACATGCACGCATGCATGCGTGTTTGAGCAGAAATCAGCAGTAGCCAGGGCTTAAGTTTGCTCCAGTTACCTAATGCTCTGTAACAAGCCACCCCACATGTTAGAGGCTCACCCTAACGTTTCTTTTGCGCACACATCTGCAGGCTGGGCCGGGCCCCAGCATGGAGAGCTGTCTCTGCTCCACCGCGCATCAGCTGTGGCAGCCTGAAGCCCCAGGGCTGGAATCATTTGAAGGCTCGCTCGCGTCTGGTGGCTGATGCTGGCTGTCAGCCTCAGCGCCTACATGTGGCTTCTCCATATGCCTGGGCTGCCTCACATCCTGGTGGCTGGGACCCAGAGATCAGCGTCCTGAGAGCCGGAGCCAGGCGGAAACTGCTAGGAAATTTAGAACCTAGCCCTGGACATCCCGCAGCATCACTGCCATGTTCTATGCCTGAGAAGCAGGTCACTAAGGCCACTGTATTCCAGGGAGGGGAGTTAGACTCCACCGTTGGGTGCGAGTGGAGTCAGAGATGATGTGGGGCTCTTTGACCAATAGGTCCATCCTGGAGGGGTGGGTGGAGAACAAGTGGGATCTGGGAGGCTGGGCAGCAGGAAGGCCCCTCCCGGAGGCTCTGGGGTATGATGGGAGGGGCTGGAGGAAGACAGGCAGTGCTCCCGACTCCTAGCCAAGCCATGTCTGTAGGTCTCATCCCTATGATTAGTGAAGATCGGTCTTGAAGGGCCAGTCCTGAGGTTACAGGAAGGGAGGCCCAGGCCTCTGTGAACACCTAGCAGGGGCCTTCGCCATGGCCAGCTCCCTCAGTGCAGCGAGGGCTGAGGGCCCAGGAGAGCTGGTGCCAGCCTGAGATCCCCACCCACCAGGGATGGTGGTCCCCAGAAGGACCAAGCTGGGAGGGACCACTGACCGCTTCATGAGACAAGGCAACTGAGAGCCAGGAGGAGCAGGAATCGGTCAAGTTCACAGAGAAGTTAGAGGCAGGGCCGGGCTGGAGGCCAGAGAGTCACACCCCGCCTGGAGCCCTTTGCACTGAACCTAGTCAGGCTACAGTTGATGGGGAGCCTGGGTCCTGGGAGAGAAGGGGGTTGGGGATGTGGGAACATGGACCTGGGGCAGGCAGTGAGGAGAGTAGGCCTCCCACTCAGGACAGGTGTGGGGCCGCAGGGGTCGGGAGAAGCTGGGCTGGCAGCAGGAATGGGGGAGTGGGAGCAACCAACGGTGAGGGACCTGTCCTGAACTGAGTTCAGGCGGGAGTCAGGGAGTGGGCCGTCTAGACCCATGCCCTCCCACAAAGAAGTATTACGGAGATTGGTTTGTATATTCTGATTGCACCCAATGAATTCATATTAGTGAAGAGTTCAGTTTAAGCGTTCAGATGATCTCATTGTTACAGGCAGAGAAAGTGGGCAGAACGAAGTGAGTGAGGGTGAGTGAGATAAAGAAGAGAAGATCTCTGCTTCTGGCACCGCCTCCGTTAAAAGGGGGGAGCCTCTGGAGGAAGCATCTCGGCCTGCAGTGTCTCAGCTCCAGGGAGAAAGGCTGTGACCGGAGGGGTTTGCTGCCACCCTGTGGAGATGGCGAGGATTACAGCCACAGGAAAGAGCCCATCAACCCTCGCTTGATGGAAGCTAACGGCTAAGCTTAGCCCCACGCTGGAGAGACAGACCTAGCTCTCAGTGAGCAGACAGTATGGGCTTGAATTAAAATAACTTCAACTTATCCAGGTACTGGCTTGGATGGGCACTGGCAAGCTGGGAAAGCAGAAGAAAACATGATTCATTGCAGGCGGAATTAACGAAGACTTCAAAGACGAGTCGAGGCGAGGGAAAGGATACCCAGGGCTGAAGGCAAAGGGTAAGCAACGAACACGGTAAGATCATGGAGCAGCCAGGAGGTTGTCATTTGCTGCAGGAGACCTGGCACTTAATAGATGCTCAATAAATGTACAAATGAATGACTCCTAGGTCTCCAGAGCGTGTATTTTTACATAGTGGATGTGTTTGAGGAAAACTTTACATGAACTTCCTTGGGGAATGGAAAGGGGTTCTACG